CTTGTTGTTCCAGACTCGACTCGACTGTACAACGCTTTGTTCAAGCGACACACCATCGCACGGTTTGTACGATTTTCGAACATTGGGGGCTGGTCCATGTAGATTTCCTCCTCCAGATATCCTTGGGTGTCTATCTGTTGGATTCGCAAATCGTATCTTGCTGCCAATGGGAAAAGGTATCGCAGCGGGAGTACGTTTCTTCAAAATCCACCCCCTTTCGCTGCGAGAATCCTTTAATCACCAACCTCGCTTTGTGTCGGTCCACATTTCCGCTCAAATCGTGCTTTGTCTTGCACATCCACTTGCATTTTATCGCCTTCCTGCCTCCAGGGAGTTCCACCAGTGTCCAGGTACCGTTGCTGATCAACGCATCGTACTCCTCCTGCATGGTTACCTTCCATTTTTTGGCATCGGGACGCGACATCGTTTCTTGTGGCGTGACAGGATCGTTTGAAATGTCGATATTCACTTTGTCGATCTGCTGCTGAGTCGCCAATCCACTAAATTTGCTTAACTCGTCTGGCTCCACAGATTGGTTCGGTTCCGCAACTTGCGCTTCATCAGATTGGGAAGTCTGTGAAGAACGGCAACAGGGCAAGCCTTTGGTCGAAACAATAAACTGATCATACATGCCTGGGAGATTATGCTCCCGACCTCTGACATCCAGTCTGATCACCGTGCAACCACCTCCTCGATCAGCCTTCACTTCACGACTTCTAATTGTCGCTTCGTTGATGAATCTAACATCCCGACTCGTGACAATCTTTCTGGTCTTCAGATCAAATAAACGATAACCCTTGATATCTTCATCCAATCCCGTTTGCATTCCGTTTACGTGGTTTTGAAACAAATTCAAGCTCTTCAGGCGTCGGTGAACGATTCAGGAGGTACACCGCCATTGGCACAGCTTCTGCCCAAAAATGTTTGTCAAGGTTTGCCTTACAAATGCCCTCTCAGCCAGTCCATTTTGTTCCGTAGTGTAGCTATTCGTGCTTTAAAGCCGGATTCCAAACTTCGCAAATTATTCCGAAAACTTCTGGTTTGTATATTCCAACCCGTTGTCAGTTCGGATGATTTTGACCTTCTGTCCAGTTTGTCGCTCTGCCATCACATGGAATTTTCTGAATGTATCCAGAACTTCGCCTTCCGACTTTGATCGCAGAAAATAAACAAAACGTCCGTCTTGACTTGTCATCCAAAAATACGATATAATCCCCCTTATTCTGCGAGTCACGTGAGTCTCTGTCACCTGTGAAGTGACAATTGTCACCTCACTAGTGAGAGAGAGTCACGTGACTTGCAGAATAACGGAGAATATCTGCTTCCTCCTAACGACATGACTTCCATCGGACCACCGATGTCCACGTGTACGACCTCCAACACTTCAGATGCACGGGAACCCTTCTTGCTGAATGGTTGCCGATTGTGTTTTCTCATCGCACATACGCGCCAATCGCTGTCAGTCTTTTCACTCAGTTCCACGCCAGCTTCTTTAATCCCGCCAAAATCAGTTAACCCATTCGTCGATGCTAGATATCCAGGGACACAGCTGATGAGCATGCCAGGCAAGGGGTGCCACTTACACACTTATTTTGTGCCAACATTTTTCTCACTGTGCCTCATTTGTGCCGTGCTGTGCCGAGAGTGCCAGTCATTGGACTGACTTTGTTTGTCAATGATTGTTTATTTGGCAACCCGGTATTTTGACAGTTCAAATGTTTTGTTTTAGTACGTGAAACCAAGCTGTCGAAAACAATGGTCACGTCAACACAGAAACAACATTTTTTGGCCTGTTGGAGTTGGAACGCTTCCGATTCCGTGTGGACCACGCAGGTCGACCTATTCGGATGGGAAGTGCCGCGGGGAAGCGATTCACTACGATGGCAACGTATACCATTTCGAATCAGACGCTTCCCTGCGGATGGAAGGTGTACTGGGTAAGCCTGGATCCGGAATCGTACAACAATCTGGAGGATGAGGATAGGCATCAGAATCTGACGTTGACGTTCAACAGCGTGACTAGTACGGTGAACAATTCGCTTGGGCAGGCCATCAAGAATACTGCTGCTGCGGAGCGGCCCAGTTTCGTCTCCCGTATGTCGCAGTACGGTAAAGATTTGATCCACGGAGGATACAGCAAACATTACACGCTGGTGAGGCACATCGGGAAGCTGATCTACGGGAACTCGGGTAGGTTGCTCGTGATATCGAAATTCATAGTGAAGGAGAAGCTCGTGCTGCAAATTATGATTAAGACCGAGGAGAAGCGGGAAATTCCGATGGAACTGTACCTGTTGACGCACGTGAAGCATCCGAACATTGTCAACATATTCGATTGGTTCGAGAACGAGTTCTTCCAAGTTATTATGGAAATCCACGGCTCCGGGATGGATATATTCGAGTTTATCGATCGATGACCCGTGATGACGGAGAAGCTGGGTTGTTGGATCTTTCGACAGATTTCTAATTCGATTGTTTTCCTAAACTCGTTGAACAATCAGCACCGGTACATCAAAGACGAGAACGTTATCATCGATCACAGTTTCCCTATCAAGCTGATTGACTTCGGGTCAGCGACATTCGTACAGGAAGGGCAACTTTTTTCTACTTTGTACTGCTACTCTGGCCCGGAACCGGAAATGTGGGATCTCAGTGTGACACTGTACGTTTTGATGTTCTTCGCGAACCATTCTTGGTCAACGAGAAAATCCTGCAATCCGAACTGATAATTCCGCACGAAATTAACGAAGAATTGTAGTACGTGTTGCTTCCGCTGTTGGACAAAAATCCCAAAATTTGGATCACCATCCAGGAGCTACTGGAGACGGAATGGATGACACAGGAAATCAATTCGTCACAGTTCAATTTTGTCAAAATCGTCCCCTGCGAACCGTACAAAACCAATCCGTAGAAGTGCTGCGTAGATGCGAATATCTGCTCCAGCCAGACGGGACTGTCCACGTCGCTACCCAGCCTTTCGATGGTGAAGATGACGATGAGCTACTGAAGACCGGGGCATGGAACGACCGGAAGGAACACTTCATCAGCACGATCCATCCAGTAGCAGCAGTTGCGTTAGTGGCGCCGCCAGTCCTTACAATTCGCCGAGCAAAAGTAACCGTAAAGAGGCTTCAGCAGCAACACCAGCGACGAAAACGTTGCTCCAGTTGCGGACCATGGCAGTAAGGGTGAGTTGGAGGCTCCGACGAAATAATTTGTTGTAAATTCCAAAAATTGTTTGTGTCAACAATCTAATTTTGACACATCCGCACTGCGCAGGCGCAGAAATAGTGCAGTGATGCCAGTTACTTTAGAGATCATAAAAATGATGTACCATGGGTGCCAAACAGTGGCAATGAGTGTGCCATGGTGTGCCCTACTGTGTTCTTGGCACACTGTGCTGAGTGACCAATCCCTTGCATGCCAGTGCCTTGTGGCGTATGTTGTGCTGGTTCAGCCTGAACAAATCATTCATGTGACTACATCACCACTCGCATTCAGCAATGGTTCATGGTGTATCCGTTCTTCACAATCCTGTTCACGAAAAGGAGTTTCACTGACAGAGATGCAAAATATCATGACACTCACTCGACACTCGTCAACGCATCAACCGACTATCGCTGACAGAACGTTTTGTCAAGCAGTGAGAGGTAGAGCTATGGCAAACAACAATCACCAATAATTGTTGCTACTCACAGGCAAAGCGTAACGCTCGCTGCTGATGATGTAAAACACAACGAAAAGATGAGAAAAAGCGAAACGACAGAAGAAAATGAAAACAATGCCTACGCATTCCAAGTTCGAGTCGGCACGCGTGACTGTGTGAGTAACAAACAAAGCTGGCAAAATTAAACGGAAGCTGTTTGGCTCACTTACCAACACACTCACATAAGCAAGCAAAGCAGAAACTGCTTCAAAACGAGCACAAATGAGTGTCGTGATTGTCGGGAATGACCAGATCGGTGATGGATCAACACCGAAGATGACATTCACCAGTTGCTTTTTACTTCTTTCGTCAACTTGATGGATGGTCATGGAGAGTGCTTGGACAAGCACATTGATAGCAATGTACTAAGCGTTACTACTATCAGCTGTTTGACGATCTTGATTGCGATAAGTCACGACTCTATTCACTGATAACTGTGGGATATATACTCTACTACCGTATCTCGTTGACTTGAAGTCCAGAACTGGTTTCCCGACAATGTGGCCTCAGAACGGTTTTTTTCCGATAGCTTCCATGCTCATTTCACCCTTGTTGGCCGCAACAACATCACCACTCGATAGCTTCAGATCCTTCAACAGCGCCTTGTTGTGAGTCATGTGGACTGTTGTTCCGGAGTCGAAAAACCAATGTTCCAACTGTTCGACTCAATCGACGACAACAACGCGCCAACCCATTCCTCTGAAATCTTGCATCCAATTCCGTTGAACTGATGCTCTTGCTTTTCGGTTTTTCGTGGCGTTGACTTCCTCGAAAGTTCCGTACGCTTTCTTCTCGGGTTTGACGGCCTCTCAAAGATCTTCAAGCTTGAGGTAAGTTTGGACGGCGAACTTCCATGTCGCCCAATTCTGCCGTCGGTACAGTCGCTCGATTCCTGGAAGACTTGAAAACCCGTGAGCTTCCAAATTCCAACTTCTACTTGAATTTTGCTGGTGGTCATTTCGAATCTTCAGAGCTTCAATTTTCAGCGGTAAATAGGTTCATAACCTATTGTAATGATTTATTGATTCTTTGTTTGAAAATTTAACATCATCCAAAACTGGCCAAATTTTAGCCAAAATGTGAATCATTGCCCATAACAAACAATTATGCAACATTTTCATGCAAATCTGAGAACATCGAATTTTGACGATTCGCCATTTGGCGTGGAACTGCTCTTTAAAACCCCGAAGCTCCTGCTCCTATTCTATATGTATCTACCAAATCAAACACCAAAACGATGCAACTAATCATTTCTCATCCCTTCTTCCGCACCTCCATACGCTCCCCCCCGCAGATCACTTCAACGCGCAGCTCTCGATCAAAACCGCCCAGGGCCCGGACATCGTGTCGACCAAGTTCACCTTCTTCGACTGCAGCACCCATCTGTCCTGCACGCAGTGCGTCTCGTCGCAGTTCCCGTGCGACTGGTGCGTGGAAGCCCACCGCTGTACGCACGATACGGCCGAGAACTGCCGCAACGACATCCTGGTGACGGGCATCAGCCGCATCGGGCCCAGCTACCGGTCCGGTCCCACCTTCTGTCCGACGATCAACGTTACCAGCGATGGGCCGGAAATTCTCGTCCCGGCCGGGTCGAAGAAGCAGGTCAAGGTCAAAGTTCATATCATCGGTCAATTCATCGTGCAGACGCGGTTCGTGTGTCAATTCAACGTCGAGGGTCGGGTTACCAGCGTCAACGCGCAACTGCTCGGCGATACCATCTACTGTGATCCCATGGAGTTTTCGTACACGGCCAAGGCGTCGAAACTGACGGCCACGTTCGCCGTCATTTGGGGCGGTTCCAAGCCGCTAGACAATCCTAACAATATTCATGGTGAGTGTTGGTTGCGCAGCTGTACAGGTGGAACGAGTTAACGAACCGTATTTCTCTTCTTTTTTTCCAGTCGTAATTTATCGCTGTAGAGATATGTCCGATAGCTGTGGTGTTTGTTTGGCATTAGATGAAAAGTATAAGTGTGGTTGGTGTTCGTCGTCTAATACGTGTGAGGTAGAGGATCAGTGTGGCATTTCGGGCAAGGTGGAAGGCCAGGAGAAGAAGGACTGGTTGAACAACCAGCAGACGTGTCCGAATCCGGAGATTCATTCGTTCGACCCGAAGACGGGACCGTGGGAGGGCGGCACGAACATCACCATTCGGGGCATCAATCTGGGCAAGAAGTTCGAGGACGTGTATGGGGGGATCAAGATTGCCGGGATCGACTGTATGCCGTTCCGGGAGCTGTATGTGCAGACGAAGGAGATCGTCTGCAAGGTGGATGGACCGGGCGTGAAGAGTCACCGCTCGGGGCGCGTGGTGGTGCAGATTTCAGATTTCAGGGGTGAATCAACGTATGATTTCGTGTTTGTCGATCCGGAGATTACGGACTTTGGGCCGAAGTTTGGACCGATTGCGGGCGGAACGATCATTAAGATCGTGGGGAAGGATTTGAACACTGGAAGCCGGGTGAATGCGTTCCTCGATCAGCATGCGTGTGAGATTTTGAGGTGAGTTGGATATAGGGGGTAGGGTGGAGACGGAAACGATGCAGCAGTGGCTAATGATCGTCTTTTTTTCCGATCCAGTACTGACGAGACCGAAGCCACATGCCGGACGACGGATGTCTCGAACCAGATGCAGGCAAAACTGCGCATGGAGTTCGATAATGGAGGACGGGAGTTCAACGGTGATCTGTTCGAGTACGTTGCGAACCCGTCGATCGACTACGTGACTTCCGGAGATCCAGGTCAAACGAGAGTGGCCAGAGGTATGTCGACAAATGGCAATGTTTCGAAATGATCTTGTTTATATTTTTCTTACCTTACAGGAATCCCGTCCGGTGGCATCAAGATCTACGTGATGGGCCAGAACTTCTTCTCGATCGAGAAACCGAAGATCTACGTATATTACCGGAATCAGATCTTCCTGAATGAATGCAAGTCCGTCTCGAACAAGGAAATGCACTGCTCTTCTCCGGAGATCGATCTCCAGAAGGACGACGCGTTCCACTCGGACGAACCCCTGCAGCTGGAGTATGGATTCATCATGGATGAAGTCAAGACGGTGCAGAACCTGTCATCCAAGATGGGTAGTCGATTCGAGCTGTACCCCAATCCGGTGTACTCCAAGTTCGAGGAGAATCTGAAGCACTTCAACAGTGAGTACTTGACGATCAACGGACGGAACCTGGACCGAGCGTGCAAGGAGAGTGACGTAGTGGTCAAGATCGGTGATAATGGCATTTGTAATATTACCTCATTGTCGCGACATCAGCTGACTTGCCGGCCGCCGATGAATCAGGAGAACAAGAAGGTCAACGTGAAGGTCATCATCGGCGGCTCTCTGACGTACGACGTAGGCTATATGAGTTATTCCTCAGTTAGCATACTGCCAAGCATCAACAACAAAATTGTGACGTTGATCGTTGCGATCTGTTCGGTGATCTTCTTCCTGATCTTCATCGCACTGGTGATCGCGTACAGGAAGAAGACGAGCGAGAATAATCGGGTGCTGAAGAACATGCAGGAGCAGATGGACATACTGGAGCTGCGGGTGGCAGCCGAGTGTAAGGAAGCATTCGCCGAACTGCAGACGGAGATGACGGATCTTGGAGGGGACATCACTTCCGGGGGTATTCCGTATCTGGATTACAGGACGTATGCGATGAAGATCCTGTTCCCGAACCACGATGACCATGTGGTTCTGCAGTGGGAGAAACCGGAATTGCTTCGGAAGGAGAAGGGATTGAGGCTATTCGGGCAGCTGGTTATGAATAAGACTTTCCTGCTGTTGTTTATCCGGACACTGGAGAGCAATCGGTACTTCTCGATGCGGGAGCGAGTCAACGTGGCTTCACTGATCATGGTCACACTGCAGAGTAAGCTGGAATACTGTACGGATATTTTGAAGACACTGCTCGCTGAACTGATCGAGAAGTGCATCGACGGCAAGAGTCATCCGAAGCTGCTGCTGCGGAGAACGGAATCCGTTGCGGAGAAGATGCTATCGGCGTGGTTTACATTCCTGTTGTACAAGTTTTTGAAGGAGTGCGCTGGTGAACCGTTGTACATGCTGTTCCGGGCAGTGAAAGGTCAAATCGATAAGGGTCCAGTGGATTCGATCACCCACGAAGCGAGGTATTCACTGAGTGAGGAAAAGTTGATCCGGCAGATGATCGAGTTCAAGGTTTTGACGGTGTACGCTAGCATAACGCAACCCCCAATTTTGTGCAATAATATCGAAATGATTCCGACCAATACGGAGAACATTCCGGTGAAGGTGTTGGACTGCGACAGTGTCGGCCAGGTGAAGGAGAAGTGCTTGGATACGATTTACAAGGCGATTCCGTGGAGCCAACGGCCGCGGAAGGAAGATCTGGACCTCGAATGGCGCACCGGAAGCTCCGGCCGTGTGATCCTCTACGACGAGGACTCTACCTCCAAGACTGATGGCGAGTGGAAGAAGCTCAACACATTGCATCACTACCGCGTAAACGACGGCGCCTGTCTGAGCCTGGTGCCGAAGGAAAGCTCCATCTACAACATCACCCTGATAGGGGGCGACAAATACTCGGAGAAAATCCACAAATACGAAACACTAAACATATCGAAGTACGTGTCCCCGTCGCCGCCGTTCAGCCGGGCCGGCAGCCCCATGAATGTGGACATGCAGGAGAACAGCATCAAGTACTGGCACCTGGTCAAGCACCACGACAGCGACGGCTCGAAGGAGGGCGAACGGGTCAACAAGATGGTCTCGGAGATCTACCTGACCCGGTTGCTGGCCACCAAGGTGAGTGTCCAGGGTTCATTTATTGGGAATATATTGGGGAGCTTAAGAACAATTTCCGTTCGGCGGCTACCGTAGAGTTCAACCGCAGCTGTCACAGTTCTACCGGCAGTATGGAAATGAGCTGAATACTGAAAAAAGCATAGCTGATGATTCATTGAAGGCTTGTTTATTTGACAGCTGCGGTGGAACTTCTTCTTGGAATTAAACCGTAAAATGGAAATAAACCTCTGTTGGTTGGGGTCGCAAAAATACTAGCTAAATCTTGGAATAAACTCACCCAAACTTTAGAATTCTTCAATCCTGACTTTAGTTAGCACTGACATTTCAATCTTCCGTTATCAACTAACACTCACTTTTTTCACTCGCGGGAATCTAATAACGAATTCGTTTATTATCGGTGCTACCAAATCTTGATACCCGATCCAGGTTAGAACTGAATAATAAAGGAATTCGCTATCATAGTCGTTCGGTCAACACTTTCCCTAAGAGGCACTTTCCCAACATTCAGACTAATTGTAATGTAATTACAATGGCTGCGGCAATTTTCTGCGCGTTCTGCGTGAACTAATCACATTCCATCCATCCATTCCTCATTACAGGGCACCCTTCAAAAGTTCGTCGACGATCTGTTCGAGACGATCTTCAGCACCGCACATCGAGGTTCCGCACTACCACTAGCAATAAAGTACATGTTCGATTTCCTAGATGATCAGGCTCTCTTGCACGGCATCACCGATCCGGAGGTGGTGCACACCTGGAAGAGCAATAGCTTACCGTTGCGGTAAGATCAAAAGCACCCAATTGCCTTGCTGTAAGTTTAAACCTAACCTCCCTTTTTTGTCTTGTTTTCCCCCTTAGATTCTGGGTGAATCTCATCAAAAATCCTAACTTTGTGTTTGACATTCATAAGTCAAACATAGTGGATTCTTGCCTATCGGTTGTGGCTCAAACCTTCATGGACTCATGTTCAACCTCTGATCATAGGCTAGGTAAGAACGTGGCTATTTTTTTTTCTCTAGGTTATGTTGCGAATTGAAACTTATACCCATTCGAATTCACAGGGAAAGACTCACCTAGTTCTAAGCTTTTATACGCTAAGGATATTCCATCGTACCGCGAGTGGGTGGAGCGGTATTACAGCGACATTCGGGAGATGGCTGCCATATCGGATCAGGATATGAACGCGATGCTCGCCGAAGAGTCGAGGGTAAGTTTCGCAAGCTCAATTTCTCCATGACATTGCTAACCCTCCCTTCTTAAATCCTCAGCTCCACACGACCGAATTCAACACAAACTGCGCCCTGCACGAGCTCTACCAGTACGCGGTCAAATACAACGAGCAACTGACGGTCACGCTGGAGGAGGACGAATTCTCCCAGAAGCAGCGACTTGCCTACAAGCTAGAACAGGTGCACTGTATCATGTCGGCTGAGTAAGCGGCAAGCAAACGGGAGTAAAATACCGAGAGAGTAAAATCTGTGTATGTAATTTGCTAGGCTAGGTTCGCTAAGGCAAAGCAAAAAAAAAGTATCGATGAAATACAATGTGAAACTGTAAGCTAAACAAAAAAAAAGTAACAAACATTATTAAGTGGAAAAGAGTGTGAAATTTATTGTCGAATGCAAAACCCAAGCAAAACAAAACATAAGCATACAACACTGTCATATATCTATTTTTAACAGTCGCTTTAATTGAACGAATGATTGGATTCCTCGGAGCAAACTTAGGCAAACAAATGAAATTTAAAAAAAAAATCAGCCAGAAAACAATTTACTGTGAAACGCATCATGCAAACAAAAAATCGGAAACAGAAAACAGCAAACTTTTTACACAACAAACAACAACAACAACAACAAAGAAAGGAACAACATCAACATCAACAAAGAATAAGAGAACCGCGAATAAAAAACAAACGTGGACAAATTCTTATAATAATTAAAAATATCTCATATAGCTCAAAACAAGAAAAGTCTAAATGTAATAAAAATGAAAAAAATTGTGTAATTGATGTGTTATAAGTTATTACTAAAATATAAGCTGATGATTTTATTAGTAAAACTACAGAAAGCAGCCGGAAGTTTTCAGTCGCAGTTGGAAAGAAACGCACACTATTGAATGGTGGGAGGGGCCTCCAAGGGTTATTCAGCAAGGACTCCGACTGGCAGGTCCAAAGGACTTCAAGCCAATAAGCTACAGCTCACGATTTGATGGCATTCCAAGACACTTTCGGAAGCATCTCCAGCGTACTTCCAGGTAAATTCTCGAAGAGTTTGAAGACAAGTTCCAACCAGTAACGCTGGTAGATCACCTTTTCGTGGTGCGTTACTGGTATAAGATCTACCATGCACCGAACCTTAGTCCAGAAAACAGCAAACTAGGGGAACATAATGTTTCAGTAGTCACAGTAGTAACGTAATAAAGGAACACATTTTGATCCTTGATACTTTTTCATGCCTTGATAATTGTGACAAGACTCGGGTGACGTGATTATTAGCAGGCAGCTATTAGCGGGCAATAAAACGGACCGATATGTTCAAGAGTGCGAAAACTAATGACATTTATTTCTTATCTATGTACATATGTACATACAGCCTACTGTGATCGAATGATAGGTGTAGCTTCAATCATGGGTTGCTTCGATTGCTCTGCAGCTCTGATTATCTTCGCAGACAACGATCGCTTTCTCACTTTCTCACCAACATCCTTCATTAGCTTCTGCAACCAGAGCAACTCCCGGTAGGCCTCGGCTAGAGCAACGTATTCCACCTCGGTAGACGAAAGGGTTACACACTGTTGCTTCCGAGCAGCCCAGGAAATCGGTCCGCCCAGATGGAAAACAAAGGTCCGGCCCAGTCAGCATCCACGTATGCTTGCAGTTGGCCAGGTCCACCGAGCTCCAGCTTCCGCAATCCGCAATCGACATCAGGTACCGCAGAGTCCGCTTGGCTTCGGTCCAGTCAGCCTGGCTAGGGTTGCTTACCTTGCACCCCAGAATGGACGCACTGTTGGCAATATTGGGCCGCGTGTTTACCGCAACATACAGCAATGCACCCACCTAGCGTCCTTCCGTGGCAGGGTGTATAAAAGGAAGATGGACGGTGACGGTAATGTAACCTAATACAAGGCAAGGCCAACGATACGGTACTGCTTATGACGAGGTTTTTGCCATCGCACGCTGCTGTCGTGAAGCATGTGGACGTAAAAATCGGCCTACCTGTACGGGGACCTAGCCGAAACCATCTACATGAGGCAGCCGCCTGGATTCTCGACCGGTGCGAGGAGTGACGTATACCTGCTGCGAAAAAGTTTGTACGGGCTGAAGCAGGCAGTACGAGTGTGGAATCAGCGAATCACCGAAGTACTGCAAAGTTTGGGGTACGTGCCATCGGAAGCAGATCCTTGTCTGTTCGTAAGGACGAAGCATCGTCGTTCGTCATTTGTACTGCTTTATGTGGACGACATGCTTATAGCTTGCCAGGAAGCGGAGTACAGAAGAATCGAAGCGACACTGAAGAAGCACTTCAAGAAGGATGGACGATTCCTGCTGGATCAAGCCTCGTATATCCGTAGAATTGCTGCAAGATTTGGACAAGCAGACGCCAAACCATCCCGTATACCAATGGACCCAGGTTACCCGAAGCAACAACAAAAGGAGAAGAAACCAATGGAGCCGATTGCGTTATGCTGTCGGGTGAAACTGCCAAGAGCGAGTACCGATTGGAGTGCGTACTGACCACGGCCAAGACCTGCAAGGAAGCCGAAGCCACTCTGTGGCATCGCAATCTGGTCAACACCACCCCACCCCACTGGACACGGCCTATTCGATTGCGATTGCTGCTTCGGAAGCGGCCGCCAAGAGCCGTGCTGCTGCCGTCATCGTTATCACTACCTCCGGCCGGTCGGCTCATCTCATCAACAGTCGCTCGAAGAGGTCTTCCATCTCGCACACGTGCTGCCCGATGTCCTCGCCATCAGCATACCGCTTGTCGCATAGTTGTTTCAGCAATGACACTTTGGAAGTTAGCGTCACCTTCTCGTAGTGGTCCCGGAAAGCCTCCCAGGTTTGCTTCACCGTTTGACTTCTTGATAAGATGCAATTGACTGTCTTCCAGAAGTAGCCCAATCTAGGAATGCGCTTGCTGGTCTCCGGTGTCGCCGTCGGTCTCTTTACGGTCACATACCGCCACAGGCCGTCTCGAATCAGCAGAAATTCGACCTTGATCTTCCAGGTTCCGTAATTTCCTCCATTAAGCTTGGGATTTCCAAACCGGTCCATCGAATCTTGAAAAATTTCTTCATCTTGTTGATCGGTCGCGAGGGTTCTAGCTGGGACCATAACCTATTAGCAGGCAGCTATTAGCGGGTAGTAAAACGAATCGATCTGTTCAAGAGTGCGAAAAGTAATGACATATATTTCTTATCTATCTACATAAAGTCTACTGTTATCGAATGATAGGTGTAGCTTCAATCATGGGTTGCTTGTACTCCTTCAGTGACCACCCCCGCTATGAATTTTTATAGCGTAGATTTCAAAACAAAAGTATTGTTTATGTTCATAAAGTGCATATAATCCTTTTTCCCGTTGTCCTATTCCTATCCTTTTCATTTTAATCTTAGCTTTTCAAAAAGCTAGTAATGACCGAGGTAATGACGCTATAGCTGTAACTAGGACAAGAGTTAGTGCTCATGTCACAACCGTCAGAGGGAAATGGAGCATCACTTAACCTTTCTAGCCTAGATGCTTCCAACGATCATAATTATTAGAAACGGAACGTACGGTTCACGTTTCAACCATTTATTGGATTCTGAATCATCTTGCTCCTTAAATGCTACACAGTAGGCCTGGTCATTTTGGTATGTGTGAGGCATCTTCGAAGTGAAACATAGGGGTAGCGTAGATGAATTGCCACCGGGGCAAGATGAGCAGAATACTCGCGGCTTACCCGACGTTAGAGGGGTACATTGTCGAAGGACATGATCAGAGGAGGAGCTTGGGGGTGGGGTTTATTGGGAATATGGAGATAGCCGAAGAACAAACTACTCCAGTTGGCAGTTGGAACTATAATAATAATTTTATTTTCGATTAAATCAGCCTGCTGTGATTATTATCGTATAACAGTTTAATAATCTGAAAATTCAAAGGATGTCGGTTTTACCCGGATTTCCCCATACATTTCAATACTGCGTGAACGATATCATCGTAACCATTTCTACATCGACAGATGGTGCAGTCCACGTGGTTTATTCTATGGATTTGCGTATCTAGTGAGGGGGGTGACTCTATCTATCTGCGCACGCTGAGAAGATAGAAAGAAGGTTGATGACGATTCTGAAGATTTCCTGCAAAAAGATGATGCACGATTCAAGTAGATGCGAGAAATCAAAGAAGATTTTTCGTGCATTGATTCGCTAGCGTGAGATTTTTCGAGCATCTAGAATTGATATTTAGATGTGACGCTCCCCTCCGGCAATACCGGAAACACCAAGTCACGGTAGGTAATACTGCTCTAGAAGACTTTACGGAAAAGTTCCTAAGGCTCTGAACCATTTGGTGGATTATTTTAACTTTTAGTTAAAATTTGACAGATGGAAAGTTATCGATGAACCCTGCTATCCGAGTTTTGTTTTTTTTTTTTTTTTTTTTTTTTTTTTTTAACTCTTTATTTGTTCCAAATTCAAAATAAATTACATTTCATTTTAACCTAGGTGCTCCAGTTACTGCAGTAACTTACCAGCCTTAATTGTTATGATATATATCTAAGTGTTTTTACATTGTTCATGTCTTGGCAATTCAGTATTTTAAACAGGTTTTTTAACCTGCATGTCAGTATAACAATTGATATCTTAAAACTAAACACTAAAACTAAATCTTATCTAAGTATAAAGGGAATTAATCGTTGCAATTGAGGATTGCAACGATTTTTGCCTGAAATTATTAATTATTTTGTTGGACATTTGTGCTAAAGTCTCAACATTCGAAATTCTATGTACTTCGGTTGTACTGTACCAGGGAGGCAACTTCAAAATCATTTTCAGAATTTTGTTCTGAATCCTTTGAAGTGCTTTTTTCCTGGTAGTGCAACAACTAGACCATATTGGCACAGCGTAAAGCATGGCCGGTCTAAAAACTTGTTTAAATATTAGAAGTTTATTCGTCAGGCAAAGTTTGGATTTCCTGTTTATAAGAGGATACAAACATTTAATATATTTGTTACATTTGGCTTGAATGCCCTCAATGTGATCTTTAAAAGTTAATTTTTGGTCAAGTATTAATCCAAGATATTTCACTTGGTTTGACCAGGAAATTGGAACTCCGTTCATAGTGACTATGTGACTACTACTAGGTTTCAAAAACGAAGCTCTAGGCTTATGTGGAAATATTATAAGTTGAGTTTTGGAAGCGTTGGGAGAAATCTTCCATTTTTGTAAATAAGAAGAGAAAATATCTAAACTTTTCTGCAGTCTGCTGCAAATAACACGAAGACTTCTTCCTTTAGCGGAAATGCCTGTGTCATCAGCGAACAAAGATTTGTGGCAACCCTGAGGCAAATCAGGGAGGTCCGAAGTGAAAATGTTATACAATATAGGCCCAAGAATGCTACCCTGAGGAACTCCTGCCCTAACCGGTAGTCGATTAGATTTGGAATTTTGATAATTTACTTGAAGAGTTCTGTCAGTTAAATAATTTTGAACTAATTTCATAATATAAAGTGGAAAATTAAACTTTTTCAATTTAGCAATCAAACCTTCATGCCAAACACTGTCGAATGCTTTTTCTATGTCTAGAAGAGCAACTCCAGTTGAGTGGCCTTCAGATTTGTTTGAACGAATTAAATTGTTAACTCTTAAGAGTTGATGAGTAGTTGAATGCCCATGGCGAAATCCAAACTGCTCATCTGCAAAAATTGAGTTCGTATTGATGTGAAGCATCATTCTATTCAAAATTATCTTTTCAAAAAGTTTACTTATTGAAGAAAGCAAACTTATTGGACGGTAGCTAGAAGCTTCAGCTGGATTTTTATCCGGCTTCAAAATTGGAACAACTTTTGCATTTTTCCATTTATCAGGAA